ATTGTAAGCTTCTTTAGACTTGATCATGCTCGTTTGAAAGCCAATCTAAAGAACCACACTTCATGAAAATCACGGGTCAAAGAGACGGGGACCGGCTCCATAGCTTGAAGGATCTTGTGGCAATGCTGACTGGAAGTCTGGTACTGTAACCTTGTTGCAGTCCACGCCAACCGGACTGCAAGAAGGCAGTTTTACCAAACTGTCAACTGAGACTATTTTCTGCAAACGCTCCGATCTCATCCAACCTTTGTTTGGCGCGCATGTTGCCAACTTTGATTTGATGTCTCAAGAAAAATCCATGAAAATCCGAGGGCTGACCGGGACCATTTCACGTGCGTGCCCAATGGTGACAGACTCCATCAAGGCAGCTGCATCAGGCCTCGGGCAACACATTGATGAGCGTTGCGAGACATCATAGATACATCATAAACAATATAGATCAATATAGGATGTACATGGATGTACTGTATAGGAGATCAAGTTGGCCTCAAACTGTGCAAGCAGACTGGTGAACAGGAAGGCGCAAACATAAGGCCATAAAAGAAACTGTGATTTAACTTGATATCTCTTCATCTCCGGCCTTGTTGTCTGCGGCCTAGTGTTGAAGCTCGGGTCTTTCTTTATAAATATTGAATTCTTGAGTTGTCCTCTGCCTTTCTTTGTGGCAGCCGGGTTTCTATTTAATTTGCCGCTCGAGAAGAACAGTGCGGAAAAGCCCTGTCCTAACACACGATTTTCCTGTGTCCCAGACTTTGACTCAATCGAGGCCCTTGAGCCCCGATTGGCTGACACTCGCCCTTGTGCATCCCGATTCAACTTTTGCCCTGGCAGTTGACAGAGTGAAACTGAAGCTGGAAGAAGGGGAACTGTCATATCATTGCCTCCACTTGAACACAGGCTCATCATGCTCGTTTTTCTTCAACTTGCCAACACAAATAATATCAAAGAGTGGACTCGGAAAACCACACGCCCCAAATCGAACTGTCACGAACAAAACCTGTCTCAATAAGCCAGATTCAACATGTTCCAGCTACGGGTCAAGATGGGTCAAGAAAACCTGGAATTCTTGAGGCGAACGTTTTCACTGAAAATAAAGGCGTAAAGAGAAACAAAGCACCAGGAAGAAGTTCCCAAACTCAGCCCGGGTGGCCTTTTGGAATCCTTGGCTAAAACGCCGCCCCTAAACAAATGACTTTCATCACAAAAGCGAAGAATGTCTGAATAGAATGTATAAATATAAAATATGTCTAGAATGTCTCCGAAATCATTTTGCTCATGGATTTAGCGACCACACCATGGTCCAGACATGTCCAAACTGCCAGCACTGCCAATGCAGGAATCCTCCGAGGGAAACCCAGCGACACTCTCAACAAGTGAAACAAATGCACAGTATTGAGCCGTCTGGAAAGGAAATGTCCCCAAGACATCGGAAAGGATGTAGGCATGGCGAGCAGGGGCAATATGCATCAGTATGTACGAGTGCGTGCGTTGAAGGCTTTCGTCCCCTCCAATTTTCAGACTGTGGGAACTTGAAATGTGTTCAAGTTGGGAAGTACAGATGAGCATCACGCATGTCACTCTGTTGACACTATCTTGAATCTAAGGCGCACATGGCACATGGTGGGACAAATGCTTGAGCGATGACAACAGCAGGACTGAGTTTCTGCTTCCATCGATTCCTGGCAAGTATCTGCGTGGCCTTGGAGGTGGCTTGGCCAACGAACAGGTTCTGTCCCTGACAGGCGCAGGTCCAACAACCAAGTTTGCAAGCAATGTAGCCCAAAATAGCTCAAATAGGGCGGGTTTCTTGTGAATCATGAACCCTCAAGCCTCTGCATTTGCTGATTTGCATACGTACATATACATGAACATGTAGACACATATCTACAAAATCACGCATTCAGAAGGAAACCCACCACCCAAGAAACCAGCAATGTTTAGTGAATTTGCAGTTGCGGAAGAATTGTAGGTCCAACTCGGCTATGCATCCTGATTCCCACAAGCAGCTTCTGTGACAGCTGATTTTGCAGAAAAAGTTCCGAAACGGATGAACGGTTCTGGGCAGCGGACAGCGGATACTAGTGAAACAGTGAAACCGATTCTTTATGTGGTAAAAAACTCCGTGAAACAGCCCCCCAACCCTTGTAACACGCGCCAAATCGACATATAACGAGCGCGATTGACAAGTTACGCGGGTCCCACATCAACCCCGCACTTGGGGGAACAAGTCAGAGAATGCTTGAAGCAAAAACTTCAATCAACTACGGACGGTCCAGCCTCAGACCTCGCCGGTGTCACCGGGTGCTTCAAGCTTGCCTGACTTGAGAAAGACCAAGGTAAGGTGTTGCAAAGTGAGTCAGTGATGGGCTCTACTGCAAGATACTGCGAGCCAAAACGCCCCCAAACGTAGCATCTTTATTTTGCCGATGCCTATGTGGGGGCTGGCCATGGCCAACGCATCCAGCAACTCACGGCAAGATCTGCAAGTGGGCAAGGAACCGCTCATTTTCCAGAATGTTTTTTTTTTTGAAAACCCCAATTGCTGCAACTCCTTCTACCGAAGATCGGAATTCACTAGGCCCTGGAGCCATCCCATCTCCCCTATCCACATGCAGGCCCATTCCCCTCGCAATCTAAGGTGCTCTCAACCCTGTCTTCAATGAACCTCTTAGTGAACTTCTTGACTTTGGGTTTGCGCTTGGAGTCGAAGAGGTGCTGGCAGAAGGCAACGACTGAAGCAATGTTCCCAATCATGACTGAGCTGTCACAAAAATGGCCACAGCGCACTGGCCACAGCGCTCAACAACACACTACAACACACTATACAGCAAACATCAGCATACTATATACAGCATCTAGGAACAGAACGTGCAATCATAAGAAAACAGCAGGCGTCAAGCTTTCAGAAGTTCCAAATGATCCAACCAAAGCATTCGTTGCAACATGATGCAACTGATTCTCCTGGCTTTTGATCCTATCTTACTTTTGGTAGCCTCAGGAAATGAGCCAAAGTGTCACAGCAAAATGCCGGATTGTTCCCGCTCACCTGCAAAAAGAAGATGGTTGCATTCATTTATCAGCCAACAAGAGCTGAGTTTGAGGCGACGACTGAACGACGAACAGAACCACGTTTCTTGCTTGCAGCTTTGCCTCCGCAGAATGCCATCAATGCATGTCAACACGTGGCCAAGTCACCGGCTTCCAGAAGCTGAGCATGCTGCCTCCCTCGTTAACAGCCATGAGTTGCATATTATTACAAGAGGGAAACAAAGAAACCGTTTCAACATGAGAAAACACTATTGTTTCATGTGCGCAATCCCGGCCTGATCTAATATAAAGAAACGCTCTGACAAAACTGATGCGTCCAGAGTCCAGACACTTGTTTTATCCTGATCAAGGGAGTTTGGCAAACTTGGCGTTACGGAGGGATGTCTAGTGCATGGATCTTTTCACCACACAAGTGGCACCTGTAGTTGGTATATAGTTGTAGTTAGGAAATTGTGACAGCACGTGGGAACCCTAGATCGCGTGCGGGAAGAGTCTGGGATCGCTGATGACAGCATGGAAGCGCGCAAAACATTTTTTTATTGCGCGGTTGCGAGCCTCGACCTGGAAAAAAAACATCAAAATTGCGCGCGAACTCGGTGTGGTCAAAAATGTGCCATGCAGTTCCATTTCATTCCATTCCATTTCATTATTTCATCATTTCTTTTCATTTCGCTTCATGTCAGTTCATCCGTCCATTCCGTACCATTCAACATTCCATTCCATTGCATTTCATTTATGCCATTCATTCCGTTCCATGCCCTTTCATTCCATGCCATTCTGTTTCACCCATATCGTTTCATGTCTTTGTAACCCATTCCATTGCATGAAAACTCATTTTGTTGTTTATGCATCTTCAA